AGGGGGGGGGCAAAGTTTTGCAAACACAAATCTGCGAGATCTGCTCACTGTCCCTTTACGTTGTGGGGTTGAATTATTTGTGGCCGTCGGTGGAGAGGGGACCATGACAATAGATCTTTTAGTAAGAGTTTTACGGCACTTGCAACAGGATAAGGCCATATAAGTGCCGAAGATTAGAGGTGTTACAAGAGAGTAATAAACATAAAAAGGGAGGAGAGATAAAGACGATAGTTGTTTAATAGGAAAGAAGGAGCAAACCACACCATTGCATCCGCCAACCACCCACGACGATAGATCTACCAAAAACCTAGAATCAAACTAAAAAGTTGACTACAATGACTTATTTGTTCCTTTATAAATCACGATTTATGGAAAGCTGGAATACGCTTTTTGTGGAAGATTTGCCTTATCACCCAATTCTCGAGCCTTGCCGTGAAGGGGATAATATCTCACTTATAAATAGGAAATAGGTGGCATGAATGTTAAGAAACAATAGTTCCATAAATTTAATTGTTGAGTTTTCCCTGAACGAAAAATAATTCTGTTTAAGATTTTTTTTTCTTGAAGTAGTATTCAAGGCTGGAAAAAAATCAGTGAAAGTTTACACTCACTGGCGCCTGCGGATACTACCAACGAAAACCTCTTCCATAGATTCATCTGACAATTTTATGTGTAACATTTTTTATTCATTCTAAGAAAATGTCATGAAGATTAATTTGATTTTTTTAATGGCAGAATTATTACAAAAATATGAAAAATACTGTTTTGGAAAAACAGACTATAAGAAGGACTTTAGAAGAATAATGTGATGGCTAACAGGCCTAGTATGGACAAAAAGGGTTTATGAGGTTCTTACGCGATGAAATAAGGGAGGTTGGCAAAGCCCAAAGAGCCCACATCTCACAATCCATAACTTTGATCCAAATCGGAACCTTCATCAGCCCCCCCCCCCCTTCCCCCTCCTGTCAGTAAGACTAAAGATACTATGGATTTTAAAAAGTATCTAATACGTGAATGCGTTATCTTTTCTGTGCAAACGTAAATGAAAATGTCTCAGCCTTGAAGGGGTTAATTTAACAAATGTACGTCCACATGTGTGTCCTCAGATGTTCCTCAGACGGAAGTGGAGAGCTTCGAGCATGCACTGACACCCTTCTCTTTAACCCACTCACAACGCAGTGTGACCGCGCCGAAAACGTCGTTTGCGCGTGAGTTATCACTGGGCATTTGTTCAGCACAGAGTTTAGAGTATCACTTTCCAATTCACTATTATCCAAGTTGTTCTAACATCTTTGGACTGCTCGATCAGAATTGTGAATAATATATTGTCAAAAGGTAATTATTTATTGGGCTTTTAGCAGAATTCTATCTATCTATCTATCTATCTATCTATCTATCCATCTATCTATCTATCTATCTATCTATCTATCTATCTACCTATCCATCCATCTATCTATCTATCTATCTGCCTATCTATCTATCTATCTATTTATCTATATCTCCCTCTCTCTTCATTCTC